CCCTGTACACTGGATGACTGTAAAAGTATTTTCCCTGATCAACCTCAGGATTGAAACCAACTTGCAACAATTATAAAACCAACTTATAACAAAGAGCATTTGTTACTGTAACAACATTTGCAAAAAGCACTGTGCAGTCAGCTACTCAATGTCTGGATTGTATCCATTATCTGCTCTCCAGAAAAGGTTGAAACAAGTATTTTTATGCTCATTGTTATTGTGAGCTACCAAGAGTGTGTTTACCATTGCAGCAGGATATAAATCTGATAAACAAATAATCTATGCAGAATGGAAATCGGTGCCAAAAGTGATGACTGGGTTTTAGGGTACTGGGGGCTTCCTGACTGAGGTGCTAGTGGTGGAGAAGATGAGAGTGTGAGAAAGTTTTGTTTGTTTATTTATTTGGATCCCATTTTTATTATTTTTGAGAACAACTCAAGGCAGCAAATATATCCAACACACCTTCCTTCTCCTTTTCCCCTCATAAAAACAACCCTGTGAGGTGTGTTCGCCTGAGAGAGAGGACTGGTCCAAAGTCACTCAGCTGGTCTTCATGGCTAAGGTGGGTCTTGAACTCATGGTCTTCCACTTTCTAGACTGGTGGCTTAACCACTAGACCAAACTAGCTCAGTTTCAAGATTATATTTGATCTATCCCAGTTGGCTGGAACCTGGGGTCCAGATATTTCCAAGATCTAGGCCCACTCTTGCTTCACCACCTCAACAGTACTGGAAACTGCTGGCCAGAAGTTCCCATTTATGATTTTTTGTGCTCATCTGAATTCCTACACGTGTATTTTATGGCTCGAATCTGAGTAGAAAGTTAAATGCCAAACTATTTCAGAACTGCCCAGCATAGATTGCTAGGGCCAATTTGGGGTGGGGGTGGGGAGACAAATTTATTTCATTGGTAGCAGTGAAACAGTACATTTTTAAAAATAGTACAAAATCAAGTGAACTATAGGTAGTCCTTGACTTACGATGACAATTGGGGCCAGGCTACCCATGGCTGAGCAAAGCAGTGGTTAAATGACACGTACCCGATGATTGCTGTCTGTATAAGGAGACGAGAGATAAGTACCTTAATTCATACATTAAACATATGGCCCACTAGGAGGCCCATATTAAAACAACATACCTCATGTGTGGCCGGAATTTGAAAATGACATGTAATACAGTACAGTTTCTGTCTAAAATGGACCAATTGAGATTGGCGTACGATTAGGGTAGATTGTAGGGGTGATACAGAAATATAATTTTATGTTATTTTATTCCATTTTTCATTTATGTATTAAATTATTGTGTTTTACCCTGTTCTTATTTTAAATTGTTTTTATAGGATTTGATGGGTAATATGTGTTTGAACCTTGTATTTTGATATGGTCTATAGCAGGGGTGTCCAACCTTGGCAACTTTAAGACTTGTGGACTTCAACT